GCCCAGGGGCACGGTCCCTGCCCGCCTCCTGCTGGCCACACCACTCCTGAGACAAGCCAGGATGCCGCTGGCCCTCTTGGCCACCTGGGCACCCTTGCTGGCTCCTATCCAGCCCCCTCTCAACCAGCACCCCCAGGGCCTTTTCCGTTGGGCATCGCTCCATGCGCAGCATGGCCTCTCCTGGCACCTCCCCACCTCACTGGAAAACATCTTCAACTTCATTTTGGGGGTCAAACCCTGTGCTTGGAGCCCGATGGGTGGCTGAAGGAGGCTGTGATGGTTTTGGGAGATCTCAGAGCTTTTCCCCCCCACTGTTCATGCTGCTTTTGCAAAAGCCTTAGCAATGCATGCCTCCCTGCTTGCACAGTGGTCCAAGCACGTGGTCTTCTCCAGGGAAGCACCAGTTCTTCTCCAAGGAAGCTCTGCATGTTGCATCTGGTGCTGGATACCCTAAAAACTGAAAGGAAAGCCAAGGTGAGCCCTGTGACCCAGCAATTCCCCCTTTCAGATCTATGACTGGATGGACACACTGGTGGATGATCATCCCAGCTTCGTTAGCAAGATCCAGATCGGGCAGAGCTACGAGAACAGACCCTTGTACGTGCTGAAGGTGGGTACCGAGGCCACTCTCGCCTTGTCCAGCCCTGGGAGGGCATGGGGCTGAAATCCCCCCTCTTCGCCCAGTTCAGCACCGGGGGATCAAATCGGTCAGCGATCTGGCTGGACACCGGCATCCACGCGCGGGAGTGGATCACCCAAGCCACCGGCATCTGGACAGCCAACAAGGTAACCACGTGCCATGGGACCCCAATTCTTCTTTTTTTAACATCTCCCTGCGGTGCTGCTTGGTTGCACCCCTCGTATCTGAGGGGCACCGAGGCAGGTCCTGCTCCCCTCCCCACGCAGATCGCCAAGGGGTACGGCCAGGACCCCTCCATCACCACCATCCTGGACAGCATGGACATCTTCTTCGAGATCGTCACCAACCCTGATGGCTTTGCCTTCACCCACAGTTCTGTGAGTGTGGGGACTCTGTGGGGGTAAATTGTCCCAGCGCTTGGCTCCAGCAACCGTGGCTGGCCGTGGTTTTAGGGTGGGGAGGGATGTCTCCTCCCATGTGGGAGGGTGTGTGGGTGGAGGTGGTTTCTTCCCACCCCTGGAGATGCTTGGGTGAGAGGGTGTCGTCTGTCCCCTGGGTGGGTTGCGATTCACATCCCTGTGACAGCCTTGCCCCCCATCTGCTCCTAGAACCGCATGTGGCGCAAGACGAGGTCCATCAATGCTGGCTCCCACTGTGTCGGCGTGGACCCCAACCGAAACTGGGACGCAGGCTTTGGAGGTGAGAGCCAGGCCACCAGGTCCCTACGCCGGGCATTACTCGTGCCTCAAAGCATCAAAGCCTCCTGCTAGAGGGGAGAAACCTGGGGGCTAAAACCCTTCCCAGGGGCAGCCTCTCTGCATGGTGCCTCTTCCACCATGCCCCAGGCTCTGGCTCCAGCAGCAACCCCTGCTCTGAGATCTACTGCGGCCCCTATGCCCACTCCGAGAGTGAAGTGAAAGCCATCGTGGACTTCATCCACGGCCATGGGAACGTGAAATCGGTCATCTCCATCCACAGCTACTCCCAGATGCTGCTTTTCCCCTATGGCTACAAGAGAACACCTGCGGCCGACCACCAGGAACTGGTGAGATGGCCCCAACATGTAGACATGGGGCTGCAAGCACCAGCCTTGCTGAAAGAGTCAGGTTGGATCATCCCAGGACCCTCCCTGCTCCTCCTGTTAGATGCAACCTGCACATTGAAGCCCATCACTTGGTTCTTGGAGGGAGGGAGATTGCAAGGTGTACCTCCTGTCCATCCAAAATCAAGGGTGTTTTGGGGAAAAACAAGAGCAGAGGGGGTGGGAAATGATGCTGGGCACTAGACCCCACTGCCAAGGTCTTAGTCTACCAGGTGTCACCACTTTTGGGCTCTCCCTTGCAGAATGAACTGGCTAAAAAGGCAGTGAGCGACTTGGCTGCTGTGTATGGGACGAAATACACCTACGGCAGCATCATGGGCACCATCTGTAAGTGTCCCTTCCTCGTCCCACCGTGTCGTGTCCACCACGAATGCTCAGCGTTGGGATGGCATCTCCCCTCCTCTCCCTGCAGACATGGCAGCTGGCACCACCATCGACTGGGCCTACGACAATGGGGTGAAATATTCCTTCACCTTTGAGCTGAGGGACACGGGGCGCTACGGCTTCCTCCTGCCCAGCACCCAGATCATCCCCACCGCTACCGAAACCTGGCCAGCGCTGCTGGACATCATGGTCCACACCCTGGAGCATCCGTACTGAACCCAGCACCTCCCGTGGTGTCCCCTCATCTCAATAAATCATCCTGGAGACTCTTTAAGCCTGGCACCTTTATTTTTTCATACTAGACAAAAAAAAAGGTGAAAAAGGATCCCCAGCCCTGCAGGCGTTTATTAGTGTTTATTTATTATTAGCCCCTCGTGGCTTTGGCCCTACAAGTCCCCGTCCTTTGGGCCAACAGCTCTGAAGGACCCGGGAGGGAATGGGTGGGTTTTGGGCAACCAAACCCAAATTTGTGGGGTTTTGGGCGGTCTTGTTCCATTGTCCCTTCCCCAGGGGCTGGGAGGAGGGACACCGGGTACCCTCAAGGCCATCGCTGGGTGCAAAGTGCTTTCAGGCATTTGCTGGTTTGTTTTTGCCACCTGGGATGACCGTCACCAGCTCTGACCTCTGTCCTGCACGGAACTTTAAATCAATTCCCCCCCCCAACACGGCCACAGTTTAGGTCCCCATCTCACCGAGCCCCCCCGCCCCATGTGAAAATCTTCATCTCGCACCTTCTCGACCGAATTGTCCCCTTTTCTTCCCTGCAGCTCCAAGCTGCAGCCGGCACCGTGGGCGGTGGGATTTTGGCACCTCCCCACCTCTCGCCCAGGGTGACTCATCGACGGCCCTGGCTGGTTCCCAGGACAGGTTTGGCCAGGACCGTGAGCACCGCAGAAGGGGGACGGCGGGGCTGCTGTGCCCAACCTTGGCCGGTGCCAGCCGGAGCCTTCCCACGGCCCTGGGAAAAGGGACAGCTGGGGGGGCCGGGCTGGTGGCCACCATCCTGATGGGATTTAAGAGGCCCCAGGGTGCTGTTGGGGCACAGGAGGGGCTCTTTTGGCTGACGATGAGGGCCGTCGCGCTGCTGGCTGCCCTGGTGGCAGTGGCCGCTGGCACCGAGACTTTTGTTGGGTAGGGAGTCTGGGCGGCAGAGGGGGCGGCTGGGATGGGGATGGTGGCACCGGTTTGGAGCAGAAGGAGCTGGTTCAGCCCCGTGGGGCCCAGCCCCCCTGGGAAGAGGCTCGGTGCAAATCCTCAGGGTGGGGGGATGGATGGGGTGGGGGTTAGGCTGGACTCACGGAGGCCAGAGCTTGGTCCTGCGCCACCCCCCAGCACACCCTGACCCCACAGGCACCAGGTGCTGCGCATCGTCCCCACCAACGATGAGGAGCTCCAGAAGGTGCAGGAGCTGCAGGACCTCGAGGAGCTGCAGGTACTGGGTGCAGCGGTGGGGGTGGCTTCTGGAGACATCCCCCCCCAGCCCGTGTCCCTTGCTTTGTACCCCACAAACCACTCTGTGGAGCGGGGCTGGGGGCAGCCAGAGGCTGGATCTGACCCCCACCCATCTTGCTTTCTCCCCTTCCAGCTGGATTTCTGGCTGTCTCCCCGCGGCCCCGGCTATGCGGTCGATGTCCGTGTGCCCTTCCCCAGCCTGCAGCCCCTCAAAGCCCACCTGGAGGCCAATGGCATCTCCTACTCCATCATGATCGAGGACGTGCAGGTCAGCGGTGGTGGAGGGGAGGTGCCGCTCTCCACCAACACCTTTGAGTACTCCACCTACCACAGCCTGGATGAGGTGAGAAAGTGCAAGATTTGGGGTATTTTTGGGGGAAAAAAATCTCATCCTGGAATTGCTCTTGCAAAGCCCTTTGCTCCACATGCAGCAAGGGCAGGGGGTGAGCCAGGCGTGACCCCCCCCCTCCCTCTCCCCCAGATCTACTCCTTCATGGACCTGCTGGTGGCTGAAAACCCCAACCTGGTCAGCAAGCTCGAGATCGGCCGGTCGACAGAGAACCGCCCCCTCTATGTGCTCAAGGTGAGGATTTGGGGTTCGTGGGGTGACCGGAGGGGGAAGTGGGGCCAGGGGAAAAGCCAACCTCCCCCTCTTCCTGCTCTTCCAGTTCAGCAAAGGGGGAACAAACCGCCCAGCCGTCTGGATTGACACCGGCATCCACTCCCGTGAATGGGTGACGCAGGCCAGTGGTGTCTGGTTCGCCAAGAAGGTATGGGCACCTCCCAGACACGTCTTACATCCCCAAAGGGCCACAAGGTCCTGCGGCCACCGTGGATGCTGGGTGGCTGACCCCATGGAGGGGACAGTGATCCAGCAGCGCCAGGGAGCCCCAAACCACCATCCTCTCTAGATTGTCCTGGATCATGAGAATGACCAAGGTCTGGCCTCCATCCTGGACAGGATGGACATCTTCCTGGAGATTGTCACCAACCCGGATGGCTTCGTCTTCACCCAAACCCAGGTACTGCCCTGGCTTTCCACTCACCGGCTTCTACAGCCACGCTGGATGGGGTTGGGGCACAGGACTGGGGTGCTGCACATGGAGTGCTCTGAAAGCTCAAATCCTCCTTGTCCACATTTCCACGGGGTGGGAAGGGGACCACCATGACCTGTTAGACACCCCAGATGACAGCCCCCTGTCTGCTGGTGGAGCTCTGGCCCTGGACACCAGCTGAGATGGCTCTGCCCTTCCAGAACCGCATGTGGCGCAAGACCAGGTCCAAGCACTCGGGCTCTGCTTGCATCGGTGTGGACCCCAACCGCAACTGGGACGCAGGTTTCGGAGGTCAGAGCTCTTCCATTCACCCTGGGGGGGCGTTTTCCACCCTCCAAGTGGAGGCTCTGAGGCCATTTCTGGCTCAAAAGGCTCCACTGATGACCCTTGGGGAAGAGATGGGATTTGCTCAACATGGGTTTGGGCTCCACCAGGGCTTTGATGTCCCCTAGTGACCAGCGTGGTGGGGACCACAAATAAAAGCCATCATAAAAATATCTAGGAGGAGCCCCAAGAGTGTTCCTTGCTGGTCACCAAGCAGCTGAGGGGTGGGAAAATTTCTTGGACTTGGAAATGGAAAAGATCTTTTGCCCTTTGTGACTCTCTGAGCCACCCAACTGCCACCAAAGCCACCAAACACCCACACTGTGTTTTCACTTCTCCACAGGACCCGGGGCCAGCAGAAACCCCTGCTCGGAGACGTACCACGGACCCTACGCCAACTCGGAGCCCGAGGTGAAGGCCATCGTGGACTTTGTGAATAACCACGGGAACATCAAGGCTTTCGTCTCCATCCACAGCTACTCCCAACTCCTGCTCTACCCCTACGGCTACACCAGCACCCCAGCGCCTGACCAGTCCGAACTGGTAGGGCCGACACGGAGGTTTGAAGGGGGCTGGGATGATGCGAGGCTGCTCTCCTTCTCCCAAGTAGGAGCAACCTCCATCATGCACCCTGGAGGGGGCATTGGCAAGCCACGGAGAAGCCCTGGCTCCTCTGCCAGCCCAAGGACTCCCCCAGGCCAAGCCTACTGAGCGTTGGCATCCTTTTTGCCTGCGGCATGCGCAAAAAACCTCTCCTGCAGGCTGGATCCTGCAGGCTTTCCCATTTTCTGGTTCATCTTTCTTCTCTTCTGTGTATCCCTAGCACCAAATTTCCAAGGCGGCGGTCGCAGCTCTGTCATCTCTGTACGGCACTAAGTACAAGTACGGCAGCATCATCACCACCATCTGTAAGTACCCAAAATCATCACTCGCACCTCGGCTTAGACAAAAGGTCCCGTGAAATACCCGTACGGTGCAGAGCGATGAACGTTTCGCATGCCTCCCGTTGTTTCCCCACTCAGATCAAGCGAGCGGAGGAACCATCGACTGGACGTACGATCAGGGCATTAAGTACTCCTTCACCTTCGAGCTGCGGGACACAGGGCGTTACGGGTTCCTGCTCCCCGCCAAACAGATCGTCCCGACGGCCGAGGAGACGTGGCTGGCGCTGAAGGTCATCATGCTCCATGCGCGGGACCATCTCTACTAACCAGGATCGGGGGCTGAGTGGCAGCTGAATGAGCTGTGGGAGGAAAAGAATGCAATAAATAAATGTAAAGAAGGGTGAGAAATGCCTTTTGTTGTTTTGCCTCTTTTCCAAATCACAGTGAAAAGCCTTTTCGGAGACCGACTCGGTGCTCCTGCGGGTGCATGCAGCAGCAGCCAACCCTACCCTGGGCTGCATCAGGAGAAGCGTGGCCAGCGTCGAGGGAGGGGATTGTGCCCCTCTGCTCTGCTCTGGGGAGACCTCCCCTGGAGCCCTGCGTCCAGCTCGGGAGCCCTCAGCACCAGGAGGACATGGAGCTGTTGGAGCGGGGCCAGGGGAGGGCTACTAAAATGCTCCGAGGGCTGGAGCCCCTCTGCTCGGAGGCCAGGCTGGGAGAGTTGGGGGTGTTCAGCCTGGAGAAGAGAAGGCTGCGGGCAGAGCTGAGTGCGGCCGGTCAGGGCTTCAAGGGGGCCCAGAGGAAAGGGGGGGACAAGCTTTTTAGCAGGGCCAGCTGGGACAGGACAAGGGGGGATGGCTTTAAACTGAACCAGGGTGGGTTTAGACTGGATCTAAGGAAGAAATTCTTTCCAGTGAGGGTGGTGAAACCCTGGCAGGGGTTGCCCCGAGAGGGGGTGGAGGCCCCATCCCTGGGACCATTCCAGGCCAGGTTGGCCGGGGCTGTGAGCAACCTGATGTGGTTCAAGGTGTCCCTGCTCCTGCAGGGGGGTTGGGCTGGGTGACCTCTGGGGGTCCCTTCCCACCCAAACCATTCTATGATTCTATAAATAGCGAGCGCTGGCCCAGCATCCTGGAAAAGGGATGAAAAGGGTATGAAAATAATGGGATAGAAAAGAGGAAGGCGTTTGTTTTGCTTGCCAGAGCAGAGGATGGAAGGGGAAGAGATCCAGTCTGACACTGGGCAAGCAGAGCAGAGACCTGGGACGCGGCTGCTGTGCTGGCAGGAGGGGTTCCGCCTTCCCCAGCCCTCCCACGGGACGAAGTGGCTTTGGGACACAAAGCGTTAGCGTGATTTATTCTGCTTATTTTGTGGTCGAACACAACTTGCGGTGCTGGTAGAAAGGTCCCTCCTCATCCGCTGCAATCTGATGGGGAAGGGGAGCCAAGCCCCAGCTTCCCCAGGCACCGCTCCACGTTCCCTGAGAGCTGCCAAAGCTCAAATGGGAAAGAAGTACTCAGACATACGGCATCATTTATTTTTTATTAAATTAAAGTTAGAACTCCCAGACTCTATAGTTTGACTCTATCCTCCAAATAATACCAAGCTGAGAGTCCAAAACCATACAAATTCACCAAGAATAATGGGAAAAGAGCAACCAAGCTGGGGAGGGGTCTGGAGCACAAGGCTTACGAGGAGCGGCTGAGGGAGCTGGGGGTGTTTAGTCTGGAGAAGAGGAGGCTGAGGGGAGCCCTGATCGCCCTCTACTGCCTGAGAGGAGGGGGTAGGAGGGGGGGGCCAGCCTCTGCTCCCTGGTAACAGATGATAGGACGAGGGGGAATGGTTTGAAGCTGCGCCAGGGCAGGTTTAGGCTAGACATTAGGAAAAACTTCTTCCCCGAAAGGGCTGTCAGGCTCTGGAATGGGCTGCCCAGGGAGGTGGTCGAGTCCCCGTCCCTGGGGGGATTTAAAAGAAGGATAGATGAGGTGCTGAGGGCCAGGGTTTGGGGGTGGGATGGCAGGGTGAGGTTAAAGGTTGGACTCGATGATCTCAAAGGTCTTTTCCAACCAAAGTGATTCTATGATTCTATGAAAATACATTCAGTTCTTCCTTTGATGCCCTGGATTTGGAGGATCTCGAAGAGCTTGGGCTAGTTTTGTCCATCCGTTACAGGAGGTTTTCATGCGGCCCAGAGCAGTCAGGGATTTTGGATCTGTCTCCCACAGCTGGATAATAAAAATCAGGATTTTAAGCCAACACAGTGACCACTCCTCTCATCTCCATTTTCAGACGGATGTATTTTATACACTTCCAAGCGCTCACAGAGCTGAAAGCTCATCTACTCACACACTGGCAGGACCCTGCGTGCTATACCGGTCCATCTTTCAAGCACATAATAAATGGTTCTCACCTCTCCTGCACACATTCAGCTAAATGGATCAGGTAGTATCATTTTTCAGCCAGCCAGCCCAGGCAAGCTACCAAGTGAATTATGCAGGAGCTGGCGTTTTTATTTCACAATGACATAAAAAGGGAAGAAGAGGAAGAAGCAGCAGACTCAGGACATCAGGATCAGACCACACAGATGCGTGAGCCACGTTACACAGTCAAAACTAAACGTGGCTTCAGTACCAAAGTCCTTTGACATCTTTATTTAGCTTTTTTTTATTTTATTAGGCCACCTAATAGCATGGCCACTCCGTAACTGAAGCCCCAAGAGGTGAGCCAGCTTCCCAAGGCTGCGAGTGAAGGAGAGGGCGGACAAGAACCAGGTCCCTGCAGCCCCTGCTTTGGGCTCAGGCCATTTAAATAAACACTTTTCTCTCAAGAAGCAATGCTGCAGTTCCACAGGCAAGCTACTTCATATTCAAAATAAACATGCCTACAGCTAAACCAACCAGAAGTCTTCCAGAAGCGCGATCAAGTAGGAGAGCAGAGCAGTCAGTAAGATGGCGAGATGCATCCAGCTCCCTAGGGATGGGCTGAAATAAGGTCTTTTGGGTTTTGATCTTCATACCTGACCAGCCCAACTCTTACAGTGCATATGTATGCACACTCCCAGGACACGTGCAATCCTCAACGGATGAGTTTGTACAAATTAGAGCTGGTTTGTACAACTTTAAGTGTTCAAGGCCTTCTTTGGGAAGCTGGGAGCTTTAAGTTACCCCCCCCCGTAGTCACATTTTGTTACAGATAAAAATAATCGATGTGTATGTGAACACAGAGGGGCATGCGGCTCTTTGAAGTGCTTTGTGCAGTACATTTGAAATGCTGGCTCTGCCCTCTGCTCCTCCATTTCTTGCCTTATTCTCCCTGCAGGGATCCCTACACAGCAGTGGAGGTTTGTGCCGATCACCTCGCTCTTCTCTGGAGAGGACTGGGGTTACGGCTCTCAGCAGAACGTCGCTGTATCAGCGCTCCTCTGATTTAAGGCTGGTGGAAACACAATAAACATAATAAACGGGCTCAGGGATGTTGAGTCTTAAACTGCCCGACTGGAAGCGATGTGCAATTTCTCTCACCTTGCCCTTTCACCAGAATTAGCCCCTGGTGATCTGGACCACTGGTGAATTTTGGGGTCTGTTGGAGATTACTTGTTTACTTCAAAAAAGGGGGGGGGAAGCCCCATCAAAACCCAAAAAGCCATGCGTGAAAAACACAAGATCAAGAAGCCAAAGCTGGATCAAGCTGAGCCATACCACAGGTGAAGGCTAGAGAGCAGGATCTCTCTGTAACCACCTACGACATCTCCAGTAGGCAACTCTGCTCTGTCACTGGGTAGTTTCGGATGATTTCTAGGTCACCCAGCCAATACTGGTATGGTGCAAGCGCCGATTTGATGAAAGCTGCGATACTCGTTATCTATGAAATCTTCACGCTCTGTTTCGTTACCAGATTCATGGTCCCTGCTAGGTTTTAGGGAGCCTGGTGAGAGGGCAGAAGAAAATTTCCCTTCAGCCACCTTAACCTTAAAAGAAGCTACTCCAAAACGACTGGAAAAGGTGTAATGGGGAATAAAATGCCAGCCTCTGTCAGGCACTGGAACTGCAGAGCTCTTTGCCGCTCTGCTGAAGAATACAGTTTGCCTCTAGGTATCACAAAAGCATTTTATGAAGCAAAATGACGTTCTGCCTCCTAACCTCGACTCGCAGGCGCCTGTACGATGGGTAGGGAAGTCAGCCTGGTCAGCAGAGGAGGGGCTGGCTCCTCCACCTACGTCGCACTCTTCTGCAGCTCCAGTGACCAGCAACCTGCTCTGGCAAGTCAGAAAAGGAGCAAACCACCGTTGAACAGTGAAACTAAGAAGACACCAAGAGGGGCACAGCAGATGGTTTTGCCCTAAGATATGTCAGCTAAAACCCTAGCAGCCTTACTCTCTCATTTAGAACCAAACCCACCAGACAGTAGCTCTCTGTAACAACAGCAAGAACAAAGCAGAAAAAGCACAGTTAGAAGCCAAACCTTCCAGACACTAAGGGAGAAAGGAGGGAAAACATGGCTATTTTCTCCTCCAGCTCACCTTTAAAAATACAGAACTGTTTCACAAACTGTCCATGAGTAAACATGACTGTCAGGTTACAGTACCGTGCTGGGCATGATTTGCAAAACCAACTTTATTACAAATACTTCTGTTCATTAACATAAATTAACAAAAAAATTATGGAATCCTCTCTCCAACATTTTGGCAAGTTGCTGAATGTCTGTATCTCTGCTACAAAACACCGAGGTTTTCGCTCATAGATGATTTCTGGCCCATTTACCTTCACGTGTGTTCTGTTCGCACAGTCTGCAGGTTCCAGGCACATCAGAGAGGGAGCATTTGTTACAGACACAAATTCATTTGTCTGAACTAGAAGCTTGGCAGAACCGTTTCTACTGGTCACAGGCTTTGCTACCGGTTTCTTCCCTCCCCTACAAAATCAGTTACATCCACTCTGTCCTGACTCTGCACCTAAAAGTCAGCCTTACCAAAGCGATACCGCTCCTGCTTCTATGAAACGTCAGCCATTCCAGCTCCCCCAGCCTTACCCGAGCTGCCATTTATAAACCACCGCTGCTTTTCTCTGCAGATTCCTAAAACGACAAACCGGCTGCACTGCTCAAGGTTCCCAGAACCTGGACATTCCTTTATTCAGTGGAAGAAGACACCGCTGCTTATTTCCATGGCCTGTTCTGGAGGCTGCTCCTGCTGAGCGAGCGGGTGGTGAGGGATCCCATGTTGGCAGCGGTGCTGGAGAGACTGGGGCTGCTCCTTATGGCTGTTGCCTTGGAATCGCGGCCTGAAGAACCATGGCTAAGACGGCCTGTGGAAAAAAAAACCCAGAAAGATGAGAAGCTGTGTCAGTGATGGAGCACAAGGACACACAAATGATCTGTTACACACACAGAGAATCACACAGACTGGCAGGGGTTGGAAGGGACCTTAGGAGCTCACCCAGTGCCACCCCCCTGCCCAAGCAGGCTCACCCAGAGCAGGGGGCACAGGACAGCAGCCAGGCGGGGGTTGAAGATCTCCAGAGAAGGAGACTCCACAGCCCCCCTGGGCAGCCCCTCCTGACACCCACCCTTGAGATATTTGTATGTGTTGATGGGATCCCCTCTCAGCCTTCTCTTCTCCAGGCTGAACAAGCCCAGCTCCCTCAGCCTTTCCTCCTAGGGGAGATGCTCCAGTCCCCCCATCATCCTTGTTGCCCTCCTCTGGACTCTCTCCAGGAGTTCCTCATCCTTCTTGAACCGGGGAGCCCAGAACTGGACACAGTGCTCCAGGTGGGGTCTCCCCAGGGCAGAGCAGAGGGGGAAAGAGAACCTCCCTCAACCTGTTGCCCCTTGCTGGCTCTCCAGCTCTTACTGTAAACATATTGACCCATGAATAATTCAGTGTGAGGTTCTGGGCAGTCTCTATCTAGCTGTGCAGGCCTAAGAATTGAAGAACCTACTAACCACCAGTACAACCTAAAAGACATTTAAATATAGCGGGCATACCATATGGAATGGTATATGCCCACCCTCAGCAGGCCCAGGACTTTGCCATCATGTAGCTATATAAGGGATCAGCACAGCACAAGTTTTGGTGGATCTTCTCGCTCAGTTTGGAAAAAAATTCTCCCTTTCCCAGCAAGCTCATGGAAAGAATATGGCAAAGTAGAGACCTGCAGGGCAGGCTCAAGAGCTACAGCAAGCGGCTGCAGCATTTGTCCCGGAGTCTTACTGGCAGTGTCTGAAGGAATGTGCTCCTCTTCCAGGTAGTACTTTATCTTTTGTAGATCATCTGCAGAAAATCTCCATTTATTCTCAGCACATGTGGGTGGCACTTTGGGAGAGGGCTTTTTTCGAGCAGATCCAGTGGGAGCTGCCACCTGGCAGGACACAGGGAGTGAGCCGGTGATCAGTCCTTCTGGGATCTTCTGTGCAAGGACCTTCAGGCCTGCAGACATACAGATCATGGGTGACCACCAGCTAAGATGGGATCAGTGATTTTACCAGTCACAAGGAAAACACTCGACAGAGCTGAATACCCAGCTCTTTCCAATCTCCAGCTCAGGCAACCACTTGCTCTCTGCTCTCCATCTACCCACCCGAGATCTCAGGGAGTCCTGCCCATCCCCACTTACCTCCAGATAACATGAACAAGTTCTCAAAGCCCCTCTCGCACATGGTTGTCGCAGCCTGGCTGGCCAACCGCTCATCATTGTCGTACAAAATAATAATTTTCCCATGTGCATTTTTCTGATAGGTAAAAGAGCTAAGGATTAATTTGTAAACTTAAGGTGATTGGTTAATACCTTTTAGAAAGAAGAACAGACAAAAAAGTGGGACTGGAGACTGAGAGACTCCCTCTCTG